TTTACTTGTACATATTTGTCAAACATACTGATCACATCCATCATAAGGAATTTGTACCTGTACATATTATATATTATGTTTTTCATTGCTTATGATGTTTGGTTTATCTGCTATAAAGTTTTACTTTCAGGGTATGTTGAGAATTATAGCAAACATGTTTTGACTAGAACAAGTTAGTTTCAAATGACAGCTACTTAACATGACCATAAAGAAAAAAGTCATTCAAGAAATAAAAGTCCATCCTTTGCACTCCATTCCTCCCCACTTTTTGAATTGTTCACATCTAATTTAACATAATCTATATTGCACATCTCTAACATAGTAAGGTAGTTATTACAAGTTTTAGTTGTGTTGTATTTTAGACTTCACTTTTGAACTTTAGAGTGTTCTGAATTTGTCTGTATAGTTGCTCTTTCCAGAGAGTTTAATATCTTCCTACATTTTCTTCTTAGTAATTAACATCTCTTTCAGTTTGGAGAATTTCCTTTATTTATTTTTTATTTTTTATTTTTTTTAGAACTTCCTTTAGAATTGTTATAGGGCAACAAATTAAGGAGATGTATCCTCTCAGATAAGAGGTTTGTTTGTAAAAGATAATGCCAAATGAGGTTATATTTATTACATATATATTTGTTACAGCAGCTCTGAGAGAAATATAGGAAACCAAGACAAGTAAAAGGGGTAAGGGCAAAGAAGAAATAGGAAAAAGTACAATAAAACTTCTAATTTCTATACCTTTCTATTTTATGTTTTGAGACCTTATGAATATATAACTTTGCACCAAATCAAATTAAAAATTCAACTAAATTTTCAAAGAAATTATCTAATTAATGATGTAAGATAATTTAAACACAAAGTTAATGGAATAAGTCAATAGAAAAAACTGATCACTTTACTATATATAGGACTGTGAAGGTTTCAAATGTTTCAAAAATTTTACTGGACTTTTATTTATTTATTTATTGGTACCAGGGATCGAGCTGGGGCCCTTGTGCTGACTTTTATTTATTTTTGACGTGCTGAAGAGAAAATGATTAATTTGTAAGTAAGATTTAAATCCATTAAAAAGGAAAATATACTCATAAGAATCAGAGAAATGCAAATTAAACAACAATAAGAAGTTTAATTTGCAAAATATTTTGCACCTTTTATTATAAAATAATTTGGCTTAGCAAAACATGCCAAAGTGTAAAGAATAATTCCTGTAATTCCTTAACCAAAGTTTCCCAAATATTGGTAGCTTGCCACATTTTCTTCATCATTCATTCACTTAATAAGTAAATAGACACACAGTCAAAAAGATAGGTAGAGTTTTGCTCACTCTGTGGAAATAGGGAGAAGTAGTTAAATGATCCAGGCCTGTAGTGATAGCATGAATAAGTCGAGGGGTCTGATGTATAGCATGAAAATTATAGTTAAGAATACCAACTAAGAGTACTAAGAATTTGGTAACAGTGGAGTTTAGGCGTGCTTATTAAGAAGAAGTGAACTCTGGAAGGTGATGGGTTATGTTAATTTGTTTTACTACACTAGTCATTTAACTGTGTATATTTATATAAAACAGCATGTCATGTACCTTAAATATATTTTCTGAAATGTCCTTTTGTCTCTAGATACCTAAACGAGTCACTCCTGGCTCCAGGGATATTATTGGAGATAAGCACAGTATAGATTTTCAATATCAGCCACTTAACATCTCCACGATTGCATGATCTCACCTACAGAGCTTTGCCCACTAACACCCTCAGTCTGACACAGGATCCCATCCGGGGGCACACACTGCTTCAGCCCCCACCCACCTGGGACATGGGAGAGTTCTTCAGTGCTTGTCTTCATGCTTTTAAAGCATGGACAGGAACTATGACGCATACACTTCAGTTTTGCTGTCCCATAGGCCTCTGCA